TTTGGGGGAAAAGGCTACCGACCTCAATCTATCACCGACTGCGCTCATGGGTAAGTGTAAATTGGTTCGCGTAAGCCTCACCGGCAATCGTTACCCGTTGTTTTACACATGAGAGTGCGATAGTCACAAAAGACTACATCTACCGAGTGTCACAGGCAATGGCGGGGGGCAGTACGGGTGACTTGGACGTGAATTAGTTCATGTTGAGGCAGACTTGCGACGCATCTGCCGCATGCTCGTTTTCCATCCTTGTCTTTGTTTGTTCACCTTGCTCTGATGGCAAAACAATGCCAAGACGACCAGAGGTGGGTATGAGCGCACGGGCTGCCAAATCTAAGCAGCCAGTCTACGCGGGCCACGCCCACGAACTAGTCCTCAATTCGGACGTACCAGGCTTCGGGTCTGAGACCACCCCTAACAGCCCTCCAGTTACTCCGCTATACTCGCCATAAGGGTTGAATTATCCCATTAGATAGTACCCGTCTATTATGAATGCCGCCATTCCCATGATGAGTCAGTGTATGCTGGCAGCCGGCCAGCATGTCTGCTCAAATATGATTGTCCAGATTGTCCAGACTATGTCGCTTGCGTTCCCTCTTAAATGTACTTGGATTTTGTGCGTGAACGACTTGCAGTGGCTTGCTGTAACGTGCTTTGTCTGAGTACACGCTCTTTCTCTCTGGCCGACTGGTCTTCTCTCTCCTCTCCTACGGGTCTTGGGTATCGTTCGTGCTAATTAATAGGACCAGGTGCGGGTCGTAACACCGTCCAAACTATGACTGACCCAAAAGCAATACAACCAAGTCATTTCTCGTGTAGGTAAGAATTTCATAAACGTCACACTAAAAATTAACCACGAATTGGGATGTTCATTTCAGGCACATTAGACGTTGTTACCCTGTTATATCCAATGCCAGGCCTGGATAACCTGAGATTACAATCAGGACTATTTGGTCATACAGTTTAATCGAACGCTTCAACATTGATCCACGCGGGCAGGCCTCACTTACTTACTTACATGCACTGGATACGGCTGTGACCATTCGTGACATAGCCGACCTCAATGATGTCACGGACGGCACTTCTCTATATGTGAGTATTAGTGGCAGCGGATTTGGAGGGTTCCATCCACTCTTTTCCAGTGACGGAAACTGGAAACCGAAGGTTCATGAACCACTTCCATGTCTAGACGAACGATATTTAACCATTTATTTAGATACCCACCTTTTCGACGCCGCTAGGTGGGTTGTAGCGCCGGATCGAGGAAAGTATTGCAAACCTCATGAAAAGGACGATGCAGAATGTACCCAAATCACCCCAGTCGCCTTTCTTGAATGGTCTGAGATATTCTCGCGATACTGTCGCGGCGAATGCGGACTGCCTTAGTTGAGACGAAGTCGGTGCACTTCACTCGAGCGATGGCCTTCAGGCAGCGGTGGTAAAATACCTCCAGCATTCGCTTATTTTCAACGCGCAAGACCCAGAATTCATATCCATAAAAGAGGGCTGACCGGACGGATGCGCTGCACACACGGATCTTCGTGGCGATGGAGATGCCGCATCGTGCAGGCCTTGCGCAGACGATAGTGTCATAATGGCCATGGTAAATAGTCCTCGCAGCCTGATCCTTGAAATAAGTCGAGTTATCCCGTCAGTTGGCACCCCTCCAAGCCGAGAATGTAAACGTGTTTAAGTTAGTCTAGGAGCGAAAGCACTGATGTTCTGTGGTGATGGACCCTCCAATGTCACACGCCGGCGACCTGTTAGAATCTTTCCGCAGACTGGAAATGCAGGGGTTGACGTTGCCTAAAGCAATGGTTGTGCCTTGGGACGGAATGGTCACTGAGCGGCTGCTGTTATAGTTCGACACAGAGCCTCGGAGCACGAGTATGTTTCTACGGCGATCGGTGAACGTCCCAATAACACTCCTAATATACCCTACCGCAACCAAGAGGTCAATGAAACCGTGGCTCAACTGGTAGGGCGTCGGACTTCTAACCACCAAGTCGTGGGTTCGAGCCTGGTGGCTGGCTAATGACAGCTTATAAGCCAGAAATGGTTATTTCAGGCTCTCTTTTCGTTGTCAGTAATGTCTTTCCGTTGTCTAAAGATCCCATCCAAGGGGTGTACTTCAGTTAGTAAGAGCGCACATGGGCTGAATCCGTTTTCCACATCGCGACACTTTTTTTCCTATTTCATATTTTACACAAACGATCCGTATCCCAAGGAGAGCCGTTTTTGCACTCTCTCGTGATATGGAGTGAAGCGGTTTTCTTGCAAACTTTTTCAGTAACAAACTGGTGGTCTGGGGGGCTTAATAACAAATGGTTGTATTTCCAAGTATATATGCAAATTCAAAGAGTTTCAAAATCGAGAAAATGCCAGCGGTCTGCGGGCACAACGTTTGAAGCCAACAGGCAGGCCTCCGGGCATTCATTCTAGAAAGTAGGTGTAAGCATTGCCGACCAGTAGAATGGATTTCGCCTTCACTGTGCACTCAGATAATTAATCACGCCCCTTATTGACAAAGTCCTCACGTGACAGTTGATCGACTTCATAAATATAATCCCACTCCCCTTGCCCTCTGGCTAAGGGCCAGAAATGGTCATTCCAATCGCTCTCTTCATTACCAGTACACCTTTT